AGCCCCAACAGGCAGTCACCAGGCCAGGCCGGCACACACCCCAGCGCCCAGCCCCAGACCCCGGGAACCCAGACTCTCGCTATTCAGTCAGACTCTCTGACTGAATAGCGTTTATAAGAGTTTTACTCCATCCTGCACGAAAACTTGAACCCCTTTTTAGAAATAACCATCATCTAGAATTCCAATAAATCCCAAAATCCATATGCTGTTTTCAAAATATAAAAAAGCTCTAAAACTGGAATAGTTCAATCATCGAAGTCTCCTGAATTAAAAAAAGGAGGAAGGGCTTTATTCTAATGGAAAATATTTGTAGATTTGAATGGTACCTTGATGGTGGAGGAGGCGTAGAGCATATCCTCCAGGCTGAAGTGGCAGCAGCTGTTCAGGTTGTCCTTACAGAAGTCTTGTATGAGCTGCAGGTTGTAGAGTCGATCTGCCAGACTCATATTCTCCTTCAGACAGACATCTGGAGGGGCAGAGAGCCGTCAGGTGTCAGGGTGAACTTGTAGATTAAAGGGGCAATATTATATGTTTCTCTGGCATACATTTAAATACTATAACATAATAAAGTATCTATGTCACCTGTAGCTGTTATTAAAATGCTGTTTTTATGTTAAAATAGAAAATAAACTTATCTTCTCATCACTTCCTCTTCTAAACGCCTTAAAATTGGCCTCTGACTCTTTAAGAACCACCTTCCGCTTCTGTCTCACCCATTTTGGGGGAGGGGAGGTGTTCAYGCTCGCGAGGGTGGGGGGGTGGTGCTATGATACAGTTTACTTGGCATCTGAAAATACATTTCCTCAAAGGTACTGTATTTTGAATCTGAAAAGAGCTTCACTGAGTGAGAAGTAGTGGAGCTCAGCAGACAGTTTAAGTTTCACTTTCACTTTCACCCAAGAGTCTGCAGGAGTCATGGACGGGGTGTGTGGGGAGGGGGGAGGGGGCGCTCTGCCATGAGGAAGTTCAGCTTAAAGACACGTCCCAGGGGCATTCCTGGTCCCAAAAGGCGTTTCTGGTCCCCACCTGTCGTTTTGCTCCTTAGCATGGCTTCCTAAAAATGCTGCAGGACTTCTCAAACATGCATGAATGAGTCAAAGCAAGGCTTTGGGCATGTTTTTTATGAGAGTATAACATTATAACATGATATAAAACTCAAAAATATAAAACTCAAAAAAGTTGATTTTACATGATATTGCCCCTTTAATACTTTCCATGCTTATCATATTTTTTACTGTGCTGATGGCTATTGTGTTGAGAGTTTAACTGAGCTTTTTCCCCTCAGGATTTTCTCAGGTTAGGTAATTAACATGTAAATCTAAATACCCGATGTGCATTTATTCTACCTTTTAAATGCCTTATCTTTAGGAATCTGATGTGATCAAGTTACAACTACTGTTTGTGACTGAGCTTTGAGCTGCTAGGTAATCCATGTCTCTGAAATACTGTCTCTCATGACCTTGTGTACATTACGTCTTTGCTTCCTTACCATCCAGCGGTAGCACCTGAGGGCAGTAGAAGTGCAGCAGTGCACCCAGCGCCGAGCCGTCCGTGCTGTCTTTCAGCAGGTTGTCCACTGGGGGGATCCACGGAGTGGGCTGGGCGGAGGCCTGCTCTTTCCGATAGCGAGCCTGCGTGACAGATACAACAATAAACCTAAATACGTTGTGAAGAATGACCCAGCCTACATCTGCAGTCGCTGTTGGAGCGTGCTTATCTTGACGGTTCTTTTATTTCATTTGCTAAAATAGCTGCAGAACTAAGCACGTTTAATGAAGCGACGCCAACAACAGCTGTGCTTTCGCTAGATCTTTACAGTAGTGACGACCGCTCAGGGCACAGCGTGAATTCACAAGATTTACTMATGTATGAAGGTGATTAGTTGGCCCAGGAGCCTTGCAGCTTAAGCTGTAAATTGATTGAAGAAAAAGAAGGTCAGTAAGAGGAATAAAAATGTAAAACCTAAGTGAATAGTCTAAATGTTTTGGGATACTGTAATCTCATTTAATTTATTTAGCTCTGGTGATAGGTAAAAGAGATTCTGTAAAGGTTGACTTTAATTTTTTGAGTTTTAAAAGACATGGTTCAGCAATTAGTGAAGAAAAATGAAGAATAATCAAAAGATGTGTCATTTTTTTTGTTGTACACGAAAGCAAATGAATATGCCTTAGTGGTATTGTTAAGAAAAAAAGATGAAAAAAGGAATGAAGCCATGTTTATTATAGTGTGAAGCCACAGGTTGACAAGAAAATCCTACACAATTCTGAAAATCTTACAAAAAACAGGTAGGAGGAGGGGGAAACATCACCATGAACACAGATGAAAAAGCGGTTGACTTACAGGTACAAGCTTCATGTACCACTTGGTTGGAGACTGCAGCAGCACAGGAAAAAGGCACAACAAAGAAATGTGTTTTAGCGAGATTAGTTAGTGAAGTGATGGCAGAGAAAAGCACAATAACTGACACAAAAATGGAAAACAGCATAAAGTCTTTTTTTCCAGTTTATCTGCTGAAAATGTCTTCTCTTACTCTTTTCTTTCAACTGACATTTGGTTTCATTCAAAGACTATTAAAGCCAAATTTGAATTTTAAAGTGCCTGTGACATCAAATTTTTGTAATAAACATGAATGCATTGTTGGAAAGATAACAT